CTTGTTTTCCCCTTTTGACAACCCAAACGCACTAGGCTGAAAGCGGCTGTTTAGGAGGCGGAGCCCACTGATTGCGTTCTGTAATCAGTGTGCTCAGGTGTCAGCAGAAGCTGATTGAAGTCAGAATAAAAGGGACCTGGAAGGAAGAGAGGCGTGTGTGTAGACTGATCCTGGGATTGCCAGACGGATGCGCCGTCGAGAGAGGATCGTGGCGGAAGGAATCCGCACGCCAGGAGCGAGGCGCCGAGAGGTGGGCCGATGGCTCAGTGCAGAGGGGAACCTGCCCGCGCCTCTGGGTCAGTCCGAAGAGGGGCGTGGCACGCCGGAGAAGACCGGAACGTCGCAGAGTCAGCTGAAGATCGGCAAGTGAGCGCCTTATAGGCACATTGCCGACACCTGGAGCAGCTGGATGAGTGGAGCCCAACTGGCGGCCTCGGATTGGTGACTTTAAAGACAATTATTGAACTTTGGATTTTGTAAAGAAGACAAGGACTGCTTTTATTGTTGCTATTGGAGAGTGACCCTTTTTTGTAATAATGGGTTTTTGAGTCGTTTGCTCCCCTAAGCGTGGGGCCACATTGGTCACAATTTCTCCATTGGTTTCAAGACTGACTAGTTTCACAATCTTGAATGAGTTTTCTTAATATTGTCTTGGCTTTGGCCATGAACACAAAGGATTACGGCTGGCAGCAACTTCATTGGGTGCTTGTCAAGTATGAACCATGTAGAGACAGGTCTGTGAATAACAACCTTTCAGTCCTGTCCTGACTGAAAGAACCAAGTTGTCAGTCCTCCCACAAACACCACTTCAAGAGATGCTCCTATTCCAGGTCTGTAGAAACCAGAGATGGTTCTCAGGAATGGAACTAAACAAGGTGAGGCAGCATGGAGGTTCAATGCTCCTCAGCTCTGGAACAAACTCAGTGACAACTTTTGGTTCCTTTAAATCAGGGCTGAAAACATTGATTTAAAGCAACTTTTCAAAATATCAGACTAATGAACTGTTTGACATATTTGGTTCCTTTATGCCTTAAATATCCATATTTTAACATCTTCAATTCATTGCTTTTATGA